GAGCTTATGGAATTTTTTTATTTTCTTTCCAGGATGCGATCAAAGAGCTTGAGAAGGATGCACGTTTGGCTGTGGAACTCGCAATCAAAGCGATGAAAACATAGGACTCTTATTGACCATTTGCGATGACAAGTATATACAAACGCTGAACAAGGAGTGGCTCGGCAAGGATCGTCCCACCGATGTGTTGTCATTCCCTCGAGATCAGCTAGCGGGAGAATTGCCTCTTGTAAGTTCCTCCGAATTGTCACTCTTGACCATTTGCATTTTCTCTTTTGACAAAAGCATTTTTGCATTCATATGTCTCATGCGTAGTTGTGCATTGAGCGCTATAACTTGTCTCTAAAATCTTTTATCTTAAAGCTGTATCGTCGATCTGTTGGGTGGAGAGGAGATGATCGACTGTTTCCAGCCTGATGCTGTTTCCTGTCAAAGTTCCAGATCCACAAGTATATAGCTAGTTCTTGTTGTTGATGCTGTTATAGCTCCATCGAGTTTATCTTGTATAGGCGATGCTTTATCATGGAAGGATGAAACGTTCCAGCGCTTCAGCCACTCCATCCTTGTCATTGGTAGCCACAGTAACGTCGGCGACTTCCAGAGTTTTTGGAGCTCCGTTGCCCATGGCAACTCCCCATCCAACCATCTCTAGCATCTCGATGTCGTTCTCGCCGTCTCCAATCGCCATCACCTCGTCCGGATCAACGTCCATGTGTTGGAGCAGTAGCTTCACTCCCGCGCCCTTGGAGGCACCCTCGGGGAGGATCTCCAGCATGTCTCGCTGCGCCTGGACGAGCGTCGCATGGCCCTGCGTTATCGCCTGCCATTCCGGCCTGAGAATCCGGTCGATCCTTTCCTGCTCCTCGAAAAACAATAGCTTCTGGACTTTGTGCTTCTCCAGCTCGTCTATAGACTTTAAAACTTCCCCCTGCGACGATGACCAGAGTTGTGAGCTTCGATTCTAAGATCAAGTAGCTAGAACACTCGAGAGTTACTTACTCTAGGCTCGAAGTAATCCTCGTGCAAATGATCGAGGAACGGATGGTCAAACGAGGCCACAATGCGGTCTCCACAAAATCCAACTGCGGGAATGTTGTGCTCTAGCGAATATTGAAAGGCCTGAGACATGTAGAGATCTTTTACCACCGGATAAAGAGTCAATGAGATTCCTTACTTTGGTGCAATAGTCCAGAGGCAGCACTCCTCTATGAACAACGGCACCTCCTTCTCCAAACACTAGCAATCCCTGGATAATTATCGTAACGCGTTAGAGATAACCTTTTCTCAAGTTAAACAGTCCTACCGAAGCAAAATTACCTGGATAAAGACACCAGGTGTGGTGCTTGAGAGAACACCACCCTGGCCTTCTAGTCCAACTGGTCGAAGTGCTTTCATGGTTGCTTGTCTAGTCTGCAATAAGAATGTATTTCAGGAGCTAAGCCAAAACCTTGAAGCAAGGTAACATACCTTTCCAGTAGCTATGATTACTTGCACACCGATTCCTACCGCTGCTTTGAGAGCATCAGCGGTCTTCCTCGATACTTGGCTTCTGCTGTTCAAGAGGGTGCCTGGATCAAATCAAACTTAAGATGAAACAAGTCATCGTAGAAGCAAATGTATCGTACCATCCATGTCACAGAACAAGATCTTAAACGGGGATCTTTTCTTCTTTCGAGGAACAGATTTAGCTGCAACAAAAATCTCAATCAACATCCGCCAAACTCAAAAGACTGAATCTAACTCTTGGATTCGTTTGTATCGGCTGCCGGCTCGGATTGAGACGCGGAGATTAGTCCTTTGCCTGTCCATCCGAGACTGCTTAGAATCTCCATCTCTTTTTTTGCCATGGCCTCGGACTCTTTGACTCCCAGCTCGTGATCGTGTCCCAGAACATGAAGCAAGCCATGAACCTGTCATCGTTATTTGTTTTAGTGGCAAAAAGAAAAAGTTGCTATGAAAGATGAATTCCAAAGCATACCAGTAAAATCCTCATTTCATCGAGAAGAGAATGATTTCTTTCTTGTGCTTGACGAGCAGCAGTCTCTACAGAAATGACTACGTCTCCCAGCAACAGCTGCAAAAGCGAAAATTGAAATGGTCAAAGAATGACAATTCGGAGGAACTTACAAGAGGCGATTCTCCCGCTGGCTGATCTTGAGGGAATGACAACACATCGGTGGGACGATCCTTGCCGAGCCACTCCTTGTTCAGCTTTTGTATATACTTGTCATCGCAAATGGTCACTGAAAGCTCAGTGGTTTCAGCCGATTCGGCCGCTTCATAGCCTTTGATTGCGAGTTCCACAGCCAGACGTGCGTCCTTCTCAAGCTCTTTGATCGCACCCTGGAAAGAAAAAGCTTCATAAGCTCAAAAACAAAGAAGATGATCGAGTTACCTGGATCTCTGGTGTCATCGCCAGCGATTCTTCCGCTATAACAGGTGTGCTGATCTCCAGCTCCTTCTCGGGAGCCACCGTAGATACACATTTTACTAGAAACTGAGAGCTCTTCCTATCACTCACAAGAAAACCACTGGCGGAGCATCTTTGCTGGAGCGACCACTTAATCGGAGCCCAAGATCGCGTAAACGCGACGCTGCTCGACCGTTGCCACTGCCTCAGATTGAAATATCCAATGCCGGAGATCCTGGACGACGCCTTGGTGCCGGGCAAGACGCTACGAGCTAGCGCCATAGCTCAGAGAACTGAATAAAGAGCCCTAAAATCCCAACTGTAAGGAAGTGCCTTTAAAAGCTCCACACACGAAAAGATCCAGGAGAATATTCACCAGAATATGCCTCGGTCATAGCGACAACATGTAGGACACGTGCTGTGCTCTGAGTGGTGGGCACGTTTGAACCACTTACCTAATGAGAGGGTGGCATTGCATCGTCCAAGTTGTTTAAATGAATTTCAATTTTTTGTGAAGCACCAAGGATGAGTGTCTATTTGGTTGACAGGTAGGGACTACTTTTTATCACACGTGATTAGGGCTCATGCTCGCTGTTTTGCCGCGCTCAAGTTTACGAAATTAGGGTTTTTGCGCTTGACATGTTTGACTTTTCGAGGATGAGAACAAAACCAAACTGACAGGGACGCATCAACGAAACGCATTCAATGCCTAAACGCGCATTTCTACTTCTTCCTCGAATTTAATTAAAGCGAAGAAAGTCTTCGATATGGTCGCGTTCTCTGCATCCATCAAACGGTTTGGAAACGAAACCCTTTAGTCTTCTTCGTCTGCATTGTCAATCTCATATAGCTGTCTCACACGGCAAATTGATATATTGTGAGCGTGCTAGCGCGAGCGACCAGATATGGCATCCAGTAAACTCTTTGACACTGTCAAAGCTCTAGCTTTGGCCATGTCGGTGTGTGTCGCAGAGACGTTATACTCCGAGGAATCAATCAATCAGGCAGTATAAAAGGACCATTGCCACTGCTGTTCGTCACAAAACATCAGCATTGAGCTCTTTGCAAGTGTGTCGCTTGCCTTGTCAGTGATATCAATCTCTCGTTTTCTCTTGTCAGGAAAGCAAAGTTTGGGTTGATCTATTGATTGATCGATCGAGAATGAAGACTGGGATGTTGCTGATCGTCGTTTTTGCCACACTCCTCGTCACCCAAAAGCCCGTCACTGCGCAGCTCAGTCCCTTGTTCTATGCTCGGAGCTGTCCCAATTTGCAAGCCTTGGTGAGAAGAGTAGTCCAGCAAGCCGTCTTTCAAGAGCCCAGGATGGCCGCTTCGCTGCTTCGCCTGTTCTTCCACGACTGCTTCGTCCAAGGCTGCGATGCCTCCATCCTCCTGGACGATACCTCGAGCTTCACCGGGGAGAAGACCGCAGTCCCTAACCGGAACTCCGTCCGAGGATTCGAAGTTATTGACAACATCAAGTCGGCGGTTGAGAATGCATGCCCGAGAACAGTCTCCTGTGCTGATATCCTCGCTCTTGCAGCTCGCGAAAGCGTCCTAGCCGTAAGCCACCATATCGCCTTTTCCTTGTTTCTTAACGATTCATCCTAAAAGTTTCTGTTGATCACTTTGTCTCATATAGTTGCAAGGACCAGCATGGAGTGTTCCTCTGGGACGCCGAGACAGCACCACTGCAAGCCTCGCCTCAGCCAACAATGATATTCCAGCTCCAACTTCGACACTCTCACAGCTCATCTCAAAGTTTCAGGCCAAGGGATTGTCGATCCAAGACTTGGTCGCAACCTCGGGTGCTCATACGATCGGACTTGCTCGCTGCGTGACCTTCCGAGACCGTCTCTACAACTTCAGCAACACCGGAGCTCCAGATCCGAATCTCAACAGGTTCTTCCTTGCAAACTTGCAGCAGCAGTGCAGCCCCTCGACTTCATCGGACAATAGCCTCTCCGCCCTCGATGTCAGGAGCCCGAATAGATTTGACAACTCGTACTTTGTCAACCTCCAATTCAATCGGGGACTTCTCAACTCGGACCAAGTTTTGGCATCCACGCAGAATGGTGTCGCTCAGGGGCTTGTAAGCTTGTATGCTAACAGGCCGTTTCAGTTCTTCAGAGATTTTGCGTCGGCAATGGTCAACATGGGGAACATCAGTCCGCTCACGGGCAGTGCGGGACAAATCCGAACCAGCTGCCGCGTTGTCAATTAATGATGTTATAAGAGAAAAATTCTAAAAAAGATTCATGACGGCTGTGGGATTTGAACCCACGCCCTAACGGATTGGAGCCTAAATCCAACGCCTTAGACCACTCGGCCAAGCCGTCAATGCATGAGACGCAAGGTATTTTAGAGTTTACAATGTAAAACGATAACTTGTATTAAAAATTTTTGGGCATACCACCACGAAATAATCCCAAATGTCTTGGACCCTGGGGGGTTTAGATCCACATATAAACAACTATAATAATAATGTTTATTGGAAAAAAAACTCCAGCCACATTTCTTACCACGTCAGTAAAACTCTTTAGGGTTTTTTACTGTCTCTTTCCATTTAGGAGCTTCCGCGAGAGGTATGAATCCATCCAAGATTGAAATGGGAAGGCCATTAGCGCTTCGACGTCGGCCGAGCGTGGTCTTCCTTCTTTTCATTCTATCTGCTGTTCTTTTGCCTATTACATTTTTTCATTGATCTTACCGCGATCCAGGTAGACTGTTCTCGCGCGGCTGGGTATGTAAATCACATTTGAGCTGTTATAGGCATTGGTGGCAGAAACGAAGATTTGCTTCCGGAAGTTCGTTACACTGTTGAACGCCTTGTGTCGATCTACAAAGCTGGTATGACGCTCTTTTCATTCTGCATTGTTTTCCATTCATGCTCGTTTTATTTCTATCGCTGCTGTCACTTACGAGCTTGTTCGGCAGACTCTGGCGGCTTTGAAGAACACTCCGGGCCTGCAAAAGAAGTTCTGTTCAGGGGCACAATGGCTATCTTCGCTGCAGACGCATAGTCCTTCGAGGCCGCAATATTTCCTCTTGATTGACACCTTCCTGCCTCCTTTAATGCCCAGCACCGCGTCAGACCATTCACTTGAGAAATAGCCGTGAGGGTCCATCCGTCTCTTGACTCTGAGAAACTTGGCAAGGCTTGTCACTCTGGCTCCCATGTTCTCAAACGCAGCGTCCTGGTTTTTCCCCCAGTGTGGCCTTCCATTGTATTTCTTCAGTAGCAGCTGCTTGATCTCTTCCATGGAATCTTCATCTAGAGTTGGAGTGTTGCTCTTTCTGTCCCTGTATAAGAGCATATCGAACTGCACTGAATCCTGAGGACTTGCAAGGTAAGCACTTGAACCTCGAACAAATCTGAAAATGGTGCCTCCGTACATGTTGAGCACGCACAGCTTGTCTGGATTTTTATCTCGCAAACTTTTGATATCTTTGATGGCTTGGTTGATTTTAGTGAAAGGTATGGAGATTGCGGTCTCGAAGAAGACGTGGGCTGGCAGCTCGGGATCCCATGGACAGGTAAACTTGTCACCTTGTGGTGAGATGCTCTTGTTTTGACACCCCCCTCCTGTTTCCATCAGGTGATTGTATCCTACCACGGGGTAACCTTTGAATGTACCATTTTCATTCACGTAACCATCCCCTGTGGCGACTCTGTTACGGACGTTGTCAAGGCTCGTTTCACAAACTTCGGATCTGTTGAATGCGGCCTCTCTCTTCTCAGCTGCAGATCAGCAAGCTCTGGGTAAGATCAAGTGAATAAGTAGAAATCTCGGAATACTAACCAACTCCTCTCCAGAATGTGATAGAAGATGCCAGTCGAGGAGTGTAGTTGATGTTGCGGCCTTCGCCAGGCGTGGTGACCGGGACTTTCTTACTGTATGTAGCAATGGTCTTACCTTGATTTATATGCCAGTTGATCTCACCAAAGTCGTACTTGTGAGCCAGCTCCAGGATATCGTCTTCGAGAGTGGTGTCATTCCTCATTTGCTTTGTAACCGAGCGCTTGAACATCGGTTCCACTGCAAAAGTCACTTGGGAAATGGCTCCAAGCACACCAATTGATAGCTTTGCCGCGTTCAAGTCTTCATCCGACGACGTAAGCTTGACCACCTTGGCATAGCCTTCCTCTTTCTTGGCAGGGACAACAAGACTAATCCCTACTACGTACTCGTGCAGGGCACCTCCTCGACCATGGAGACCGCTACCGTGAGCTCCAGTGCTTATGGCACCCGCAACGGAGATGCCATTGAAAGACGGCGAAGGTGGAAAGGCGAGCCCGTCCTCTGCAAGCTTAGCAAACAAGTACTGAAGTTCAACACCGGCGTCAACAGTAACAGTCTCGGCGGCTTTGTCGATCAAGATAGTGGAATCGTATTTGCTGGTGCTGATGAGAAGGCCTGATTTTCCTCGCGGACAGGCAACCTTTGGAAGACTGTGAGCATACTTACTCACTACTTTGATGCTCTGCCCCCGTTCCACAGCGCCAGCGACTGCGGCAATAAGCTCCTTCTCGTTCGTTGGGTACGCTACAGACTCTACCTCGCAAGGTTCCCGATCAGTCCATATGCCCTGATAGTTATTGACTGTGCAACTTTTGCTTCCAGGATTGCATTGGATCGGAGATCCCTGTGCCAAAGCTCCGATACAAAGCACCGCTGCCACTAGCAAAATCTGTACTCGTCCCATTTTTGCAGTACTGTCACACGCCCTTGGAAGTTTTTAAAGGTAAGGTGCTCCATTCTTTTTATTAGTCTTCATTACTAACTTAAATGCCTAGTCTGATTGTCTTACACGACTACACATGCAGTCCATGTGCCTTTGATTGATCTACTGTCCAGGTCGAAAACGGGGAAGGAAGTACATACTCCGCACATGTCCACTTGCTCAAGTGGAAGATCATCTAAGATTGCAGCATTTAGAGTTAGTGGAAACACGCTTACAACGTAAACATGTTTCATTTTCTTACCGGAAAGAACGCTCTCTTCTAAGCACTCACATTTTCATTCTGCGGGAAGCTAGAAAATGTGGACGAGCGAAAATGCTTCACGATTCCTTGTCCACTTGTTTCTCATTGTACATTTCCTACACACTGCGCTGTCTGTGATAAATCGCAGGAACACAAAGCCAAGCTAGAAAGCAAGGAAACTGAAGTTGGTGCTTGCTTCCATCTTCCGAAATTCACTTGAGTAAACACCATTGAATCCGCCGAACTATTGTTGCGTAAGTACGCAGGCTGTGTGATGCTGAACGATCTGCGATATAATATTAAGCTTAAGCTCGATGTCGATGCAATTGTCGTTAATAGTGAGATAGTAATATTTGGCGAGCACTTGAAACATCTAAGCACAAACCAGTGTGACAGAAAGGCATGCTTTGCAGGAGTTGACAACCTCGAGATCCAAACCGAACAGTATCACTTCCATGGCCGTTTTGGGCAAGCGCCTGGATCAAGATATTCCACAGATGCCGTGACGATCGAGTTCCACGACACACATTGCCGTGTGAGCTCGAGACTGGCATCCCAGCCTGATCGGCGCCACATCCCAATCGCCACCCCAAGCTCCAATTACTACAACGACAAGCCAAAGATGGTGACGTGTTATTTTCTCGAGATCGACGCTCTGGACAGCTCCAGGATCGCGAGGAGATCAGACAGCAGGGGTATCGCCTCCTCCAAAGGCCGTGGTTGATGTGTCCATACTTACCCTCCAGCAGTAGTCTTTCAACCAGGCCTGGAGCAGGCCTTCTGCCAACTTAAGTCGAGGTTCCCGGTGTTTCTCACCATGTGTTTCTCACCGGTGTTTGTCGCGCATGGATCTCCACATCGCCATTGATAGCTGCAAGAATTCGATCGACGAGCATTTGCCGAAAGAGCACCAGAACTTCTGCCATTTGCCTGCTGTGGGCAAATGCGTTCCAGAAGAAAACATTTCCATCTTCCATTTTGTGGAGGACACCCAAGGCATCCGCGGCGCGCCCGCACTCTCCATACATTTCCATGACGAAATTCGCGAGGAATCTATGACGATCGGAGCAGCGTCTCCTCCCCGTCAAGAACAATGCGATGGAACCATTCGTTAACTACACGTAAGCTTCGTCAAAATAGCAAATGGCGCAAGGACAGCGATAGCAGAGGACGCTGCCACCATTGGCGACCTGGATAACGATACGCTGCTCCACACTTTCGCTCGCATTCCAACAAGGAAGCTCCTCACCCGAGCAGCGCTTGTCTCCCGCGCTTGGCTGGATGATCCGGTCTGGCTCAAACCAAGACAAGCCTTCAAACAATACCTCGCAAAGCAAGCATCACAAGCATTGTTTTTGTGATTTAAAGCGGTATGTATGGTTCTTGTCGCGCTCTTTTGCTTATACTCTTGTCCAGATCGCTCAAGAACGCACAAGAGACTGTCTTGAGCTTCGTTCCTCATCTTCGCCACTTTTCGATTTTCGCCAAGCGATGTGTCGAGTGCATTGCTTCGCGTAAGCTTATGGGTGTGACTAGGCTAGTGGAGTCACGTTTTAAAGCTTCTCCTTGTCCCTTACCAAGCTCGCAGTCGCTTAACGTACCCAGGAGCAGTTCAGGGACTTCTTCGAACCTCGCAGATCCTTGTGTTGTATCATCCCCTCGTTTGCCATGCTTCTTCTTTTGTCAGCCATCAGCTATGCAGAGTCTAAACCTGCAAGCAGCGCTTGAGGAGTTGTTTGCTCTAACCTGATGCTCGATCAAGGCTCTCACAACGTACTCGGGACTAGACTACAGTGGATATCACTGATGCAACAAGCTTTAGGTTCTGAGTTAAGTTAGTTGCACCAACTCAAAGGTGTTCTGTTTTGTTTCATGGTTTTGAACATGGTTTTTCTATAGGAACAAGCATCAAACTGGAAGCTTTTGGGTGGTGTCTTGATGAATTGAGCTCCCCGAGGGTTTCATCTTGCGAAGAAGAGAAAAACAACGACCCCAACCTTCAGCACTCTTGACATTTCCAGATGCCTTGCAACTCGAATCTCTTGGGCAGGACGCACCGGTGCTCTTGAAGAAGGTGCCTGGATCAAATCAAACTTATGGGAAACATTCGCGTGCGAGCTGAGCGCCATGCCCAGAATTTGCACGCGATTGATACAAAGTAACAAACACGTTAACAAGCTATTAATGCATAATTTGGACGGGAACTTGTGGGCTAGAATAAAAACAATTATTGGCAAGGTCATAGGTTCGAATCCACAGCCAGAGACCCAATTAAATTTTACTTCGCTTGCGGGTCTTTATGGAATTTTTTTTTGTGTCAGTGGCATCTTGGAGCTGGAGTGCTGAGCAGCAGCAGCAGCCACGACGATCATGGTCAGTGTGTCGATCTAGCCCAGACTCTTCCTTTTGCTTTAAAGTCATCCTGGAACGCGTCTCAGCATTGCTCGTATGAACGCCAACAGGTTTGGACGAGCCAATTGCCACTGATCCAGCAGCAGTAGCAAGATTTCTAGGAGCGATGGTGAAACAAGAGAAAGTTTTCACAAAAGCTATGGTTCCTTGGTGGCTGGGATCTTTTCTTTTCTTTTTTATTTACCATCATCACGCAAAGCGCCATTCCTTGGACTGCCATGGACGCACATTGACTTTTTCCGACCAACGAGAATAAGCAGCGCTTGCTTGCCGGATCCACTCTGAGGAAGCGAGTTCCAGCAAATCCCGACTTGACAGACATCTCGTCGAAATACGGCAGCGAGCATAAATATGCCGAGCGGTTCCGTGACTCGTGAGGCCGAAAGTGTGGCATATAGCAGTGATTGAAGTAGAAGTTCAACAAGCATAACAAACTTAAGTTAACTTAGACAAAAGGCTCCACGAAAAATTAATGTGAATACTCCGAAAAGAATTCGTGAATCCACCACTAGCTCCTCCTACATGCTTTGTCAAAATAGCAAATGGCCCAGGACTACTGACGACCTGGATAACGATACGCGGCTCCACACTTTCGAGCAGCGTTTGACTGCCGGGCTTGTGGCAATCTCATGTAAGAAAGAGTGGAGCTGAGCGAGAGCGTAGCCTTTCTTCTCTCTAGTTTCTCGCAGTGGCTTGACGTGGGTCCTTGCAGATCATTGTGTTGTATCATTCCACCGCTTGTCATGCTTCTTCTTTGCTCTCACCCGACGCTCGATCAAGGCTCTCACAGGCTACAAAGGAATCGCTGATGCATCAACCTTCAGGTTCTGAGTCTAATCAGTTGCACCAAATCAGGGATGTGCCTCTGGTGTTTTCGGGAGTGAGTATTTAATTTCATGGTTTTGAACATGGCCAGAGGATTTGATCTTGCAAAGAAGAGAGAAACAAACAAATACCCGAACCTCCAGCACTCTTGACATTTCCAGATGCCTCTCAACTCTGTTCTTCAAGAGGGTGCATGGATCAAATCAAACTTGCTCATTTTCCAGAAACTTTTCTTGTTCCGAGAAACAAGTTTTGCTCCAGAAAAAAACCTGGAACCAAGAAGAGAGGCTTGGAATTCGCGCGACCTTGCCCACGTGATTGATACGAAAAAAGAGCGTGCCATTCATTCAAAATAAAAAACAAGCGAAACACGTTAACAAGCTATTAATGTTTAATTTGGACGGGAACCTGTTGGCCGGATATCTGGCTAGAATAAAGAAATTTATTGGCAAGGTCACAGGTTCGAATCCACGGCCAGAGAACCACCTAAAAACACTTTCAAGTGTAGGCGATGTTCGCGATATTGGAAATTCCTTCTTTCTCCCTCCCGCAGGCTCGAGAGACAAAAAAGACAGTGGTCGATCTAGCCCAGAAAGAACGGATCCTGGAATGTGTCTCTCGCTTGGAACGATAATAGTTTTGGAGGAGGAACTTGCACCTCGCGTGACTCGCAATGCAGCCTTGTTACGATCGCACAGAGTGCTGCAGACTGCCAAGGAAGAACACGAACGCTGAGCGGCACACTCTGCAAGCTGGAACGCGAGCTATTGAGCGGAGCAGAGACAGGACACGACCCTGGACATCGGTTTACCGATGCCCAAGAGTTTTGGCAACCTTCGAATGGCTGTGCGTCATGATCTCCAGCCTAGAGGACAGGTCCAACTAATCATCGCCGCGTTACGATGCTCCATTGGTGAGCATGCCATCACCGAGATCGTCTTCTGCCAAGAACTGGACAGACACATTGTGCTGTGGCATCTTCCCAAATAACTCTTTCAATTCTTGAATATACCCACCTTGGGCATATGCCACGAGGACAGTATTACGTTCTTCCCTTTGTCCACCATTTAGATCGTAAGCTGCGAACATATCCGTGCACGTTACCACGTTTTACATGCTTTGGATATAGCCAGAGACACCATCTCCAGAAATGTTGAGCACATTGGATCTTAAGAACTTCTCCTGGGAACTGTGTGGAAGAGCTTCTCGTTGCCCCGGCTGGATCATGATGCTCCAGGTGACGAGGTTCCGATGGGGGAATCTGAGCAGCAGCTCCTCGGATCGATCCTTCCATTCTGGGGCTCTCCATTGAATCCAACATGGCCTATCAATCGGGTGCGTACAATGCCGTCCACGCGAAGCGCATGCGATCGAATGCCTCTTGTGCCCGCCAATTCTCCCCATTGAGATGCAGCCTCGCAAATCGATCGCGGCGAACAGAGGTCTCGCGTCGTCAAAATGCCCGGTGGAAGAGGCTGGTAGCTGCGGTGATCGAGCAAACACCCTGGCCTCGCCCAAGCTCCAGCACTTGGAGTGGAGATCGATGAGACTGGGAAGAAGAAGAAGAATGAAATGCGGCCCGTCAACTTTTAGGGTATGGCCGCTGCGCTAAGTTTTCATGGAGCTCCGGCCAGGGCACCCTCCAGGCCAGTGATCCGCTGCCAAGCGACACAGCCAGAAAGCAGCAACCCCAAGTTCGTCCCCAAGGAAGTGCACTTGGAGATGACGCTGCAGGAGCTGGGGTGCTGGTCGCCAACCAAAATCTGGCGCCAGGAGCGCTGGCGCAAGATGAGCGTCGAGGAGCGAGTAGCCGAATGGTCTGAGGCACAATGCCTGTGGTACGGGCCTCATCAAGTCGATGCAGCGTTGGGTTTCACGGCGTGGCTGGCGCAGCATGGAGCAGTGGCTGCGCTTGCTGGATCCGTCGCTGCGTCGGCTTATGCTACGCCGCGCTCCGGTCCAGATCTGTGCCTGATGCTGGGCGTGGATGTGGGTGGCATGGAGCAGCTCATCCCCGACAATCCCACGCTGCTCCAGTGGGAGAGCGAGCCAGCGCAGCAAGCTAGCGGGTCGAGTGAGCAAGTGCTGGAAGGTTGCGTTTCGTTCCTCGCCGGTCCTAGCTTCTATCCGATCACTCTCGTCTTCAACTCCTGGTGGGGTATCCACCATGCCGTCTCTCGGGCCCTTCCAGTGGTGCTGCGAGACCAGCCAATGCATGTAAGCTCACGCTCCCTACTCCTTTGTTTTCATTGCACTTGTTATAACTATAAACACACACACACACATACAGGTGATTCCCCGGGAGAGTTTCTGCCTCTACGATGCCATCAAGGGCCATCCACAGCCGTATGAAGTGGTGGAGGTGCTCACAAGTGAGGGAGTATCCATCGAAGGGATTGATTCTTACGTGAGTGAGGGCTTGCGCGAGCTGTTTGGCGACGAGGGGAAAGTGTTGCGACAGTGGAAGGAGGTCGTTGCTAAAGCCAAGTCTATCAAGCCTGAAAAGTATCGACGCATTCGCGATCTGCCTTGGAGGGATGGGATAATGCCAGACTGTCCGACTATACTAGACTGAGGAACTTGCTTTGTGTTACCTAGTTAGAATTGTTTGTGAGTTTTATTGTTAAGTTCGACCGTTTAAGCGTGGAAATTCTTTTGCTAAGTGTTTCCAAGCAATTTGAATTTCCATGATCGAATTCCAAGACATAACGCCGTGTCACTGGATCAAGCAACGAGAACGCTCGTCACCCCGGCTATCGGGTTCTTGGTAGCTTTGACCGCTGCTCCAATTCTCTATCGGGATTTCCGCATACTGATGAAATGTTGCTGCTGCTGCTGACGTGCAGCCGATTGTGGCGTGAAGGCACGAACTTCCCCTCTAGCTGAAACTCGTGAAAGTTTTCATGCGTTAGATGGTGATTGTATCGAGAAGGAATTCGAGCTGGAAACATCGTAAGCAAATGATGTAACAAAGGAAGCGAGCAAGAGCAGCAGCAACGCTATGCAAATCCTGCTTATGTTGGAGTACTGGTGCGTCATTTGGGTGCTCTGGAAGCGGGCAAACACGGGGAAGAACAGGTTCGTGCAAACCAGCACGTATAGGATGTGGTGCTCTGGTGGAAGCCCGGCAAATTCTTGGTGGGAGCTTTCCAATGTTTTCTCCTCCACGCTCATGCTCACAGTATATGTCCAGAATGGGCATCTTCATTCACAATGCTTTGAATGTTTCTGCGAACTCTCTTTTCCTTCGACAGCCCCCTATTGGATGCAGCAGCTGAAGCTGTTAGTACACGCTTAATCAAAACATCATGCCTGACCCTGCCGCTGGCTGAAGCCTCAAGTAGAGAGATAATATTTGGATTTCTCTATGATTTAATTAATCTCCACAAATCTTTGCTCTCCGTTGGCAGCTTGATCCGAAGTTATCCAATGGATGCAGTCTATCATGTTCTGAGGGATGTCCGTCTGCAATGCACACCGCAAGCATTTCTCTGCATCTTGTCCGCCCTTGTACATCCCTCCAACATACAGAAAAGAGAGAACGAGCGAGTACCAGTCATCACGATACTTGTACCCCTCCTCCTCGTCAAACAGCGGTGATATGAAGAAGGGAGTCCCAACACGCTGTCTGAGCAATTCCGGGGGGTCATCCACAAAGAACGATGCATCAAAGTCGCCGAGCTTCAGCAAGCGGCCGAAAAGTAGAAAGTTATCCGGCTTGACATCCCTGTGATACACACCATTCGCATGCAAGCCGAACAGAGCTCTCTCTCCATGCTCCCACAACTGGTCATAGTTATTGGTCAGATCTCCAGCTTCGATTGGAAGTCCAAAGCCGTCAAGAGCCATCCAAGCCAGACCGTCGCCTACACCTGTGACAGATCCGAAGTATTCCAATGCCACCATTGCCCGGACGTGAGGTAACTTGTCCACAATCTTGTGAATCTCCACTTCCCTCGAAATACTGGATTCCTTTGCAACTTTGATGACAGAGGAGCTGGAACCTTTTCGCAACACAATCGACCTGCCACCGACACCGATGACTTTAGCTTCAGTGACATTAATTTCGAAGTTGTCGTGGTGCCGGTGGAGCTGAATGGGAGCAAGTGGGATGTTTAGCCTGGAGCAGACTGTGTCTACATATCTCACCAGCAGCTTGAAGCCAGGTTCAGGTTTTAAGCTGACTACATCCTGCAATGTCGCCTGTGAGATGTTCTCAACATTTAAATGCGGAGCCACGTCAAAGAGAAGATTTTTTCGGTCCCAGCGTGGTGATGTAGGGAATTCTGGTGCCACTTTGAGTGACTCAACATCACCGTTCTCCTTGTAAGTAAAAAGAGCAAACCACAAACGTTCAACCCTTTCGCCAAAGATCCCAAGGTGCCATGGTCGAGGATCTTTGTTATTACACTGTAGCATTTTGGCAAATCCGTGCCTGTTCCTGTCAATCCCACCAGTCGGATCGCCTTTCGCAAGCTGAAAGACGGCTTTAAGTTCGATAGGCTGAGAAGTTTTACCAGCTTGCACGCATATATCCTCGGGAGCACCTCCTTCCTTGAAGAAACAAAAATCGGATTGGCCGGAAGCAGCCCCCACGCAAAACTGTAAGAGCAGAGGGTGGTAAGGAAGCTCCAAATCTATCTGACCCCTCTTTCTTGCCGCTCTCATCGCCACAACGTTCTTCAAAGGAACCCCTCGAGCTTCAAAGAGCCTGAAATGCAAATACCGGAGCTCGGCAACCAAAGGGCGCAATGGCTTCAACAGCTCATCGATGCCAACAATTTCCCTGGGAACGTTCCTTTTCACAACCTGTTCGTCCCACAAAGCCAACTCGGGGCATGCTTCAAAGTGCATGGTAACGTACGCAGTATTTGGTAGAGTTGTCTCGCGATTTTGCGTCTCTCGAATCGATTGCATCCATTGCCTCTGTTTCAGGACCTCGCGTACTTTCTGCGGGGCTTCACTTTTCCTGATATGCACAAGAAATCTCTCTGGAAGTTGGATATGTGTAGGCACCCAGCGACACCACATGCAATCGTCGACCCGAAGTTGGTCGTAACCCATCTCGTTTAGCCACTCCCAAAGTTCATCGTCATTCTGGATGTGCTCTGGAACATGCATATACGTGTTCTCCGAGGGACAAAAGACTCTACGCAAGTGCTTGGAAAAACGCCGAGTGAGTTCAAGAGCCCCTTGTGCCTGAAACAAGCTAAGTAGAGCTCAAAGATGCTTTATTTCGTTAAAGTGGGACTTATTCAGTAAAGTGGGACATTAATTAGCATGTGTCCACATGCCATTTCCTAGTACTTAATTAATATTTATTAATATTTCTATCAGTTTTTTAATTTATTTTTTTATATTTCACAATATTATAACACAAAATCATATGAAAAGTTTTTAATTTATAAATTATAAAGTTAAAACTTTAATTTTTTATTGTTGTTATAAAAATGGCATGTGGCCACACACCATAAGTGGGATAATGAAAAGTCCCACTTTAACGAAATAAAGCATAAAGTGAAAAGAGAAAAAGTCACTTACGTCTAGATACTCGTCGTCAACACGCATCCGCTTGGTCGATACCATCTGAGTCATTGCTTGCAGGCTGGTTTCCTGTAGAGCCGGTGGAAGAGGAGTTTGGACGTGATTTATTCGAGGACCAGAGCCGAATCCTTGCTGCTGCCGCGGCGTTGCTTGCCGGCTGGTTTCCTGTAGAGCCGGTGGAAGAAGAGTTTGGAAATAATTTGTTCGAGGGCCAGGGACATAGCCGAATCCTTGCTGCTGCCACGGTCGGGGAGGAGGCTGGACCTCGGATCCATAGCCACTGCCCAGAACGAACCTTTGTTGCAACGGTGAGCGAGTAATTTGCTGGACGTGACCACCGCCAACATAGCCGGGTCCGTAACAGCCATAGCCCTCACCGTCGCTTATCTGGCCTTGCTGCTGCGATGGTGGGAGAGTAGCTTGCCGAGGCAAGCCGGATCCACAGCCACTGCCTTGTTGCAATGGAGGAACATAGCTGGGTCCATAACAGCCATAGCCCTCAACGTTGCCTATCTGGCCTTGCTGCTGCCATGGTGGGAGAATAACTTGCTGAGGCAACGGTGGGCGAGTAGCTTGCCGCCGCCAAGGAATTTGCTGAGGCTGGACGAAACTTGATTGAGCGCCGCCGACATAGCCGAATCCATTGCCCTCTGGCCGATAAGATCCAAGATGACCCATGCTGTTATTAAGGGTTTTGGGTTTTTAGGTTACATTCTTTTTTGCCCTACTGCAATCCTAATTTGAATCGCGTTTCAAATTTTTTTTTGAATGTGTTCCACCATTCTATGGCATTGTTTCCAGCCACCAGTGGCATTTTGGAGCTAGAGCAGGCAGTGGAGGATCTTGAGCAGCACCAGCGCGATGCAAATCCTTCCACATACGCACTTATGCTGGATTGGTGCGTCAGGTTGGGTGCTCTGGAAGCGGGCAAACGAATCCATCGCCATTCCGTGGAGTGTGGAATGGGCAAGAACAGGTTTGTGGAGAATCTCCTCATCAACATGTATGGGAAGTGTGGTGCTCTGGAGGAAGCCCGGAAAATTCTTGACAGGATGGAGGATTCTAATGTTTTCTCCTGGACAATCATGCTCGCAGCTTATGCCCAGAATGGGCATCTCGACGATGCTCTTGAGTGCTTTTGGAAGATGGAGCTTGAGGGGGTGAGAGCCAACCGTGTGACAATCATCAGCGCACTGGGTTGTTGCAAGAGCTTCTCTCGAGGGCAGTGGTTTCATTCTCGGATCAAACAGGAGGGATTTCTTCCGGATGACGTGATGATCCAGAATGCTCTCGTCAGTCTCTACGGCCGATGCTGCGAGGTGGATCAAGCGAGATCGGTCTTTGATGAGATTTGTAACAAAGATTTGGTGTCCTGGACTGCCATGATCTCGGCTTTCGTCCAGAACGGGCATCCAGATCGTGCGATGGTGTGCTTTTGGAGCATGCAAGCTGATGGGGTCAAGCCTTGCCGTGTGACGTTTATCACCATTCTCGAGGCTGTGATGGAGACGAGGGATGCGAGAGTTTGCGAGGAAATCCACCTCCAGATCATCGAGACCGGACTAGAGAAAGACGACAAGCTCCTCAACTTGCTCGTAAGATCTTATGGGAAGTGTGGGGACATGGAAAAGATGAAAGAAAGCTTTGAGAAGCTGGACGAAAAAAACGTTGTCTCGTGGTCCGGAACGATAGCAGCGTTTTCTCAGAACGGATACTTCTGGGAGGCGATCAGGCAGCTCCAGAAAATGGATCTGGAAGGAGTACAGGCGAACGAGGTAACTTTTGTTAGCATCTTGGATGCTTGTGCTTGGACTGATATTTCTTTTTCTTCTTCTTTTGCTGCAGCAGGATCGAAGCTCATAATCGCAATCACCGATCGCGTTCTAGAAAATGGTTTCCATCAGCATCCGGTGGTGGCGACTGCGCTTGTCAACTTGTTTGGCAAGTTGGGAAGGCTAGACAGCGCAAAAAGAGTTTTTGATTTGTCTCACGCGAAGAGGGACGTTGTGTCCTGGAACTCGATGCTGTCTACGTGCTCCCAGAACGAGCAGGGAATTCAAGGCACTTGGGAGCTGTTTCAGCAGATGGATTTAGAAGGTTTCCAGCCGGATCCAGTAACTTTCGTCACGCTCCTCGACTGTTGCGCGAGTTTTGCAGATCTGAGACGGGGGAGACAAGTTCACCAGTGTGCCGTGGCGAGCGGAATGGATTTGCTTCCCACTGTGGCGAACTGCGTCGTCAATATGTATGGTAAGTGTGATGATTTGGAGGAGGCAAGGAGTGTTTTCGAGAGCTTGAGTTACGGGCGAGACGTGGTTTCATGGAATGTAATGCTCTCCATTTACGTGCAGGCAGCAGGAGAAAACGATTCTAGTGCCAGCAAAGGTAGAGACGTGTTTGAGCTGCGAAGGAGAATGGATATGGAAGGAGTGAAGCCAAACGCTATAACTTTGATCAGCATGGTCGATGCTGCAGCTGTTTGGGAGGAAATTGAAGAAGGCGAGTTTCTTCGTTCCCGCATTATCGAATCTGGCTATGGCTCTAACGTTGCCGTGTGTAACAGCCTCGTCAACATGTATGGGAAGTGCCACAGCTTGGGAAACGCAAAGGAGGTGTTCTGGAGCATGGAAGAGAGAAAGAACGAGATCTCTTGGAGCTCTTTAGTGGCGGCCTATGCTCAAAACAATCAAGCAACCGAAGCTATGAAACTCTTCCAACACATGGATTTGGAAGGCCTGAAGCCGGACAGGGTGACCTTGATCAGCGTCCTCGACGCTTGCGGGGACTTGAGAGCGTCAAAGCAAAGCTCGCAAATCCACGCTCGAGTTTTGGAAGCAGGCCTGGAGCGTGACGTGGTTGTAGCGAATGCTCTCGTCAGCATGTATGGCAAGCTCGGTAGGCTCGAGCAAGCAACCGTGATCTTCGAAACAATGGGGGAGAAAAGCGTCATCTCGTGGAACACAATGGCGGTGGAGCTCGCTAAGGCCGGGCGCTGCGAATCGGCGCTGGAAGCTTTCCGGGGCATGTCACTGGAAGGATTGGAGCAAAGCAGCAGCAGCTTGGTGGCGGTGTTGTTTGCGTGCTCTCACGCTGGCCTGGTGGAACAAGGCAGGGAAATCTTCCTGTGTGTGCTGGAGGACAAGCCTGGCGACGATCCAATGCCGAGAGCCGAGCACTATGGCTGCATGGTGGATCTCTTGGGGCGATCGGGAAGGCTGGACAAGGCCGAGGAGCTCATCGAAAACATGCCATTTGTACCGGATTGTGTAGTATGGAACATGCTGCTCGCGTCGTCCAAGAGCTATGGAGATGTCGAGAGGGGCAAGCGCGCAGCCAACGAAGTTCTCGCCATCGCAAAATCCATGCCCGGGAAGAAGGGACTAAGCTCCACTAACGACTCGCCTTATGTGGCACTGGCCAGCGTCCTGGAGGGAAAGCATTGAGCCTATGCTTCCACTGAGATTTGAACTCAGGACCTCCCGCTTACTAAACGGGTGCTCTGACCAGCTGAGCTATGAAAGCTTAACATTTATAACCATGATAAATGTCTTTAATATAAAGTGGCCAGAGCAAGCGATATTGACATATTGACATACGATATCAGTCAAGACTCCCGTTATTAATTCAAAATATTTCACATATAAAACACAATTATAATAAGAAACTTAGAACTTCAAGATACAAGTTCTATAAGTCTCTTCCAAAAGCTTTTCACAATTCTCACCACAGGATCAGCACTTGGGTCACAATCATCTTAGATCATACACAGTATAGTCCTGCTCTCACCCTGAGACGAAGTCACACCTTTGGGCAAACTTCGACCGTTTGGACCGCTTTACGCGTGGTGGTGGCAAGTTCCGCTTCCGCTCGTGAGCTTCAGCCTGCAGGGCACTGGGGCCGAACTTCATCCTCCTCAAGAATTCGAGAGCAGATTCATCACCAAACAGGTCTGCAGCATTCTCTGCATCCAAGACGACGAAGCCTGATTTTTTCCCTCCCGCATGCATCTCCCAGAAATAGCGACATTGATCTCCCTTCAACTGCGGCGGCATTACCAAGAGCTTTAACTGAATGCTCGAGAGCAACTTGTATGCTTCTGTATCCTCAGGAAAACCGGTATTGGTCGAGCTCAGTGCATTCTTAGGAAACTTGTGCTGCTCCAAGACGTGCATCACGTACACCTCTGTGTCTCCATTCCCTTCATTGAATTTGTAGCGAATGCCTCGCACAGCATCAGCACCGGCAGTGTTGTCTCCTGAGATCCATGTCGTGCAGAGTGGATCATCCCTTTCCAAGTCCACAAGAAAGACTTCTGGATCGTAGCCGTCGGCAGAAACAAATGCATCGATCAAGCCTTTCACAACTTCACCTTTCCTAGCGGCCAACTCTTGAAACCCTTGAGGGCAGCCGCTTGCCTGCAGCAGTGGTCTGAGAAGTGGCATGTCTGCCATTTTACCACCGAACTTCTCCCACATGCTCTCAAACGATAGAGCTAAGAAGTTCTGCAAGCACAACCCCTGGCCTGACGGATAAGGCACAGCAGCCGTTAGTCGCAGCCACTTTGATGGCAGGTAACTACTCGGGAGGAATCCCTTTGCCTGGTGTTGATCTTGAAAATAATTTCTAGCTGCTGCAAGAACCAAGTACTCGTCCACATGAACAATGCACCCCGCAGCTGTCCGCTCCAACCATCCCAGACCAGCCTCAACCAGTGCCACACATATGTCCTCGTTGTCCCTGAAAACGTAACCCCTTCCAGCACCGAAATACTGCACTACAGCCGCCTCAAGTTCCTGAATGAGATTCACTCCATGGACAATGGCCTGTTTCTCTGCCAACTTCGACACCGCCCCGTAGGAAGTTTTCTTCGTCTCTGGCTGACTCCGCTTTGTTGTCAATCCCACTGTGACATAAGCTGCTGCCTCCCGCAGGCTCAAGTCCTTTAGGATCATGATTTCCAAAACACACGCCAGTGGTCGAAACCTTCCTTTAAAGACTTTGTACAGGGTCCGCAAGTCCGCTTCATCGTCTTCTGTTAGTGCTATAGCCTGTTCAGCGTAGTTAACCATCTCCTTAGCATTCTCCCAGATACCGAAGTTCACAAAGTCGGTATCCGCTATAAGCTTACCAATACCAGTGCAGAGAAGATCCTGCTTGAAGTACAATGTGTACCCTGTGCCTGAGACTATGACTACGTGCTTCAGAGCTGTATCCACTCTGCAGTGATTTTCCAGGCAGTTCGCAAAAGGCACGTACCCACCCCTCGAAGTCGACCAAAAGTAGCCATCCTCAAACAATTTCATCGCTTCTTGGGCTTCGTCAAGAGCAATCGTTGGTATGGGCACCGGAGAGTTGAGTTGGTGTAACAGTGGCTCCAGCTGAGACCCTATCTGGTTCCGCGATAAACCACATAACTTCGTCACCGCACCCCTGAAGAACTCGCAAAAAGGATCGCGCAGTAGAGCAACGCCGTCTTGCTGTGCTAAACCCCTGCATGCGGCTTGCAAGAGCAGCCACTGACGCGACGTGATATTCTTGCTCTTGCAGTAGAGATAAATCTTCATTCTGCAGGCCAGTAACAGCGTCACGAACACTCTGGCGACGGTCTGGTTGAGGGCCAACTCCATAAGGCTCTCACCTTCAGGATTGCGATGGGCACGAATCAGAAAGCTCTCCAACATCCTGATTGAGAATTCGAGATCCTGAGACCCCCCGTTGAGGGCAGTGACGACGAAATAAAATCCATCTCTTTCCTGGAAAAACGGAGGGTCAGGTCATTGTGATATATATTTGCATGCACTTAACACAGAAAAGATCATACAATGACCTTGTTTTCCCGCATCCTGAGACACCAGAAACGATCATGCATCGACGGCCTAGACTTTCGGCGTTCTCGAGCTGCTCTTTCAGCTGGGCACAGCAGGAATGCTCCGACTGACCTATCCGGAACAGCAGCATACTCGGTACCTTCATGTAGACAGGCACGCCATAATCATCATCTACAGGGAGTGAAACTTTGCCTTCCAAGTACGCATCTAGAAAATCCTGGACTTCGTTTGGCAGCAGAAGCGCTTCGTCCCAATCCAACTCCTCCATTCCACTAACCCAAGGGCGTGCGCACCCTAAATCCCCAAGCCATGATGATTCTCGGAATGTACTGTAGTTTGTGTTGATGGATAATCTGATATTGCTAATTAAATTGAGTTTACCTTTGTGATTGTTACAAGCTATTGATGTTAAGTCCTAAGATCAATAAATGAAAACTCTTCTATTGGTTTAAGTAGAGTTTATTAAACACTTGGGCCATGTACAAATGGGACTATAATTTTAACCATCATCCAATTACAAAGTATAAAATAGATGATTGAGTGTTAATTCATTTTCCCAATCTTATAATATCTCTTTGCTCAAAAGAATGGAAGTGTTATAGGAAATTTCTATAGGAATATTAAAAGGCACTAAAGAATTTGTAGGTAGTGCTAGTTGTTCCTAATCCCTTTGTATCCCGGCCCATTAACTAGAAATCTTTAACTACCTTTTGTTCTTTTGAGAAGAAGTCCAAATTTATGGCTATAATGCTCTATATTATTATTAGTATAGTGAGATTTTAGTAGCCCTTGGATTAATTTTATCAAAACCACTCACTCTTCTATATAAGTTAGGGTTTTTTGGCTAATAAAATATGTATTTTTCTATATTCCACTTTCATATTCCATGCACTCACTGTGAATAAATTGTGCATATTTAAATTTTGAGTTCAAAAATTTTAGGAGTTTTTGTTAAATATAAGGACAAAATTCTCATTTATATTTAAGTTAAACCACTTTCAAATAAATTAAAGGATTTAATATATAAAAATTAAATTTTAAATACACTTTTTATGATTTTATTATTGATTATTTTTATATCTCAAATAACATTTTAAAATTTATACACAATAATTAATATAATTTAAGACTCAAAATGAGTGATAATTTAAATACTGTTTATATATAATTTATTCTAAATTTATTTTATCAGGTTGAGATAGAGCAATGAATATACCTAGAAAGTACTTTGATATTCTGGGATATTGTATCATCTAATAGTTGTTATTTATTTAGACTAATTTGTATTTAAGATTTAAAAACATGTTTATAATGTATAAAATTTCCTAAACATAGTTGATATGCAATAAGAGTAATCTTGTATTACTATTAATCAAACCATGCAGCATTGCAGTGTTGCATGCACCAACATGTAACAAATTATTTAAATTTTTTAGCATGACTAGTGCTGATTACATTACAATTGATACATAGCCTCTTTTGGTCGATATTGATTTCACCTTTAGCACTAAAATTCCTTATAAATTAGAAACCTAAAAGCTTGAATGTAGAAAATATCTAACCTCTCTTGCAGGCCTCTAAAATTGAGATTTTGCACTTAGGCAGCCTGAGGAAGGTTGTCTTCATCGTCCTTGAAACATCTTCAAAATCATCCAAATCTATAAAGCTGAGTAAGAATATCTCTTCTTCTTCTTCCTTAGTGACAGGTAATACAAACTTATTCTACTACGGAACACCAACCAAGAGACTAAGTTTCTAGCAATAAAAAAATGCATCAGTCTTTCATGTTGAAACAACATAATTGCCTTTTCATCCTTGCTCATCTCTTCATCATTCTCTCCAAACCGATGACTAACAAAAGCATTGCTCTTGTGCCGCAACTTGTACTCCCACAATATCGTGTCCTTCCACTGCATTTCCCACAATCACCTCCAAATTGAAAATGCAATTGCAATACACCGATCTTGTGCCCCTTGCCCTTCTGCTTCTTGCCGCAGCATCTCGAACAGATAGCAACAACTAGACGAGGCACAACTTTGGCCGGTTCCATAACTATGTAAAAGTTCATATGATGAAGTACTAAGGAAATTTTGTGCCTCTGTAACATATGCATACTAAATACTACAAATAACTATCTTAATCTAAATATTGAAAATTTATATACTTCACAATTATCCTTTTGAAGGTTAGAATGAGCCTTTCTATTAAATCATCCATCTGTGGATGATAAGCACTCTTGAAAGTATAGCATATCCTTAACTGAGATGTCAAAACATGAAATGCCCCAGCCATAAATGCAAAACTATTATCTGAGAGAAAATCTACTCTAGATAAAATACTGAAACACCATTTGCTTAAGGAGGAAGTATATAAAAGTAGTTGCAGATGCATTAGCAAGAGTATCAACTTCCACCTAATGAATCAAATTGTTGAAGGTAATAATGATGTATTCATTGTTAGTAATTGACTGTCAGATAGGCCCTATAAAATCAAATGCAAATGGGAAATTGCAATGACTTCAATGTCCTTTTGTAACATGAAGAGGAGTATTAGAAGCTTGGCACTAAATGCAACTACACACATAACAAATAACATCATATTACATCTTTATCTGATAAAAAGATTTTCAATCATATGACAATGTCTCATATGGCTGCCTAAGATACGAGAGTCATAGTAGGCATCGAGAAAGTGTAGAATAAAAATAAAAGACACCATAAATGATATTTAGGATTAATCCCCACAAAATAAAGAAGATTGTCTTTAAAATGATATTATGAATAGAAATGCTAAAAGAGCAAACTATTAACAAGTGATGCAAAATTCTCAAACTTATTATAAAGCTTTTGGATTCACAGCTCAACTTTTCGAGCCTCATAAACATTGTCAAGAGAAGGTAAATTTTGCTTTACACCTTGTAAATGCTAAATATCAAATACAACAATTATTGATGGCATGGAATCCTTGTCTAGAAAGTCTATCAATATTGGAAAAATATAGACTTGTCATGAACATGAGAAGAGAGCAAAAAATGGACAAGAGTTCAAAAAAGAGTATCAACATTAGCTATAGAACCCTTTAGGAAATAAAAAACTTTGAAATTATATATTTGAACCCAATTGAGTAGTATGATTAATCAAGTTCTTTCACTTTAATAATGAAGTAATTATATGATAATCACTTAGTAATATATGAAAACTATGCTAATATGCATAAAACTTATTAAAACCCCAAACTACTACTAAACACTTTTTTATTATGGAGTAGTTCATTTTTTCTAGTTACAATATACAACTAATATATGCAATGGAATGATATTGACCAGACTCATTTGCATCAATACACCCCCGAGACTGAAATAAGAAGCATTCACGCATAAAATGAATAGGTTAATTATAATTAGAAACACCAAGATTAGAAGAATTATCAATAGCTTTTTGAGATTCATAAACACCTGCCCACATTCTTTAGACTAGATGAAAAAGAATGTTGACAATTTCAATAATGTTTGCTATGGTTCAATATAATAAAAAAAACATGATCAACAAAACAATTAAGATGTTACACTTTATTTAAGAAGTGCTACATATAATTTATGCATTTTGGAGTATGAAACTTTAAAGAAGTCATAAATTTGTCAAAATCAATTTGTAAATCTTCACAAAAAATACAAGTCCCCAAGATAAGTCATATCCTTAAACCCAAATATGCATCTTGACTATTTCAACTTTAAACCAACTTCTTGCAGTAAATCCAACATCATGCAAACATTATAAATATAATTCTACCACATCCCCTCTGAGTAAATCAAGACATCATTGATGAAGTTATTAATCACCTTTGATATATCATAAAGAATCTTGTTGAAAATGAAGTATTGTTCAAACTAAACGATATCATTAAAGACTTATATAAGCTAAATGTTGTATGAAAAACAATTTTATGAACATTTTTCTTGGCCATTGGTACATGTCAGTACTCAAAAACAAAATCTAACTTAATGAATCAATGATTTTTTCCAAAAAAATCTAAAAGATAAACAATACGAAGAAAAAGATATATATCCAGGATACTCACCTCATTTAATGAATAATAGTTGATATAAAATTAAAGACTTTAGAACTTTGAGACTTTTATATAACACCCTTCTTTAATATCTTCACATTTGTGTGTAAAATCTTGATCTCCTTTAGTGACAAACATTGAATAGGAACCTTGATTGGATAAACATTTTTAATTGAAATAGGATGATATATTCTAATGTTGGCCCTAAACAATAAGTCAAAGTTGAAGAGATCTTTGAGCTGGTCAACTACTACAACATAAAAACCATAAAAGGGATTTAAAGAGGGAATAAATGAGTAAAATGAAAACACAATAGAAAGTAATATGGAGATAAAAGTGATAGAAGTAGAGATAAAAGTAAAAAGATAAAATAAAATAAAAATGAAAGGAATAGAAGAAAAATAAAGGGAGAAGCCTCAAAGTCACATTTGGTATAATTGCGTTGTAATTAATCTATACTAAGGATGAGGTCAAAAACTTGACTTAACATAATTTACAATACTTGAAGTTCAATATCACCCATATACATAGCTAAGTTCACCTTATTTTGTATACATACAAGTGTACAACCATTGTTATAGAGAATGAAGATTAGCTTTGCTACATGACATAATTATAAATGATAACATGTGGCAACAACCCAAGCAATAGAAGATAAACTTGAACATATATTAATTGATATAGAGAATAATAAGAGACTTCTTGTTATAAAAACAAGTTTGGAAAATAAACATTAGATGAATTGGTGGCAAATGAACCCCTTGATACTCTTAAAAGCAGGATGGAAGAACAAACACCATCTACTACTTGTGCAACTCCTCGTTTTCGAAAGAATCTTTGTATCAAGACTTTATGTTACAAGATGTTGTTGATGCCAAGGCCTCCACCTAGAAAACAAAGGATGCCAATATAAGCAACCAAAGACAACAACTTGAAAAACAAGTTCAAATATAAAAAGAAAAGGTCCATATACAAAAATGCATTAATTTTTCTAATCAGTTAAAAGTGTTTTAAGATATTTAGGGTTAAACATTTATTAGGTGACCTACTTATACTGGTTTCATTTGCTTTGGTTAGGTTTTACATAAGGGGTAGTGTGTCAAAAGAGCTACAACTTTTAACTTCCGTTTACAAAGGTATGAATTTGTAAAGAAATGTGATGAATTAGAAGAGACCAGAAAAAATAACTTTAAAAATAAATATAAAGGGAAAGAGCCTATGAATAATAATACACCCCTTTTTTCTTTTAATTAAGAGTCTCAATAACAATGTAAACCTCCATATGAATAGAATCATTTCCTACAAAAAGTAAAACTGAAATATATGTAATGATAAGTGAGAAAGGTGCTACCTCATAACATTGTGTTAGTCACAAAGCATTGTTAAAGGTTGTTAAAACAAATGCATGCACAAGTCTTACAAGATCTTAATGAAATACTAGTTACAACATTTTCAACTTAATCCACTCCTACATATTTGACTCAATATAAAGTAAGAGGCCAAACATAAGAAGGTTTTAATATGCATAAATGGCTACATTCAACCATTATATCACTACAATACTATCCTTTGGAGACATGTGGGAAACTCAATAAAGACAACATCTTAAAAATGATTGAATTAATAGTACATATCCTCCTCAGGATTCCTATAGAAAAACTCAAGATTGGTAGCAAAAGTAGGAGTTGCACTATACTCCGTGAATGCTATCATCAATTCAAGCTAATTGTACAACTGCAACTACATAGTTGAACAATTACACCAATTATTACTCCAGAGTCAAAGGAGAAGGAGACTAATTTTGCCATGAAGATGAATGAAAAGAACAAAAACAAAAGAAAAATAATTGAAAAACTAAAAGAAAAGAGAAATTTAGACAATATAAAAGTTAGATTTAAACCAAGAGCATAAATCCAAACACTCCTAAGCACAATCAAAATTGTTTGTCACCTTACATAGAATATAAAAATAGAAGATAAAAATATGCACCAAAAACCTTAACTTATATACAAGAGTGAGACTACCAAATCCCACTATATTAATAATAGTATGTGGCATTATAGCCGCACACTTAAACCTCATAACACAACTTGTATAAATTAATATGATTCTGTAAAAATAATAAAAATTAAGAATTTTTTTCTCATTAATTAAAAATGTGTGCAGGTTTTTATATTCATCAAGAGTAAGCAAAACATAGAGTAGCATTTGGAAGATTGGCAAGCATTCCCTTGAAACCAACTATGACAAGATAAGATGCTTGGCACCACCGATATTCATAGGCCACACGAGTGTATGAATATCCCTGAGACACTATCCAGGCCGTCAAGATATATCCGTTTAGGTTGTGAGCCCTGCGATGTATGTCAGCGTGGGGAGCGCCATAGATGCCTGGGCGACGTTTGAGAGAATTGGCACCGGTGCGACCGTGTGTTTGAGGCTGGAAGAACCCGATGTCCCAGGGGGCACTGCCGAATTTGAGCTGAGCCGGGACGCCGTGGAGGATTGCAAGGAGATGGCCGGCAAGGAGGTGAGCGACACTCCACTCCTGGAGGACGAGGACGGCTGGCCTTTGACAGTGGTTCGCTTCTCCGACTCGCTCTACCGCATCAAGAATGTGGCCGCGGACAGCTTCCCGGAGTCCTTGGCGCTCATGGATTTCCACGCGCGCCGTCGCGTGCACGGCCTCTCGCCCCAGGATTTGGCTCGAGCGGACGAGGAGTACCTGTTGGCCAGGAAGATCCCTTTCACTATTCTCTTGGGCATTCATCACGTCTGTAGTAGCCTTTGATCTTCTTCGTCTTTGCCATTTACGTTTGAAGCTGTTCTTGCAGACTCTAGACTTTCTGGGGCATCCAGCAGTGGACACGGTTGGCAAGGTGATCAATGAGACACCAGGCAGGCCGAGGCTCTTGTCCGATCTCTCGCTCGAGGAGATTCAAGCCAGAGGCGGACGGCAGTATTAAGTTTTTTCATCGAGTCTCCTGTTAACTTTTCTTCTTTGCATTTGTTTCTTGCAAGACTGAGAAGGGCTGTTTTCTATCTTTGATATTTTTAAGAGATTTTTTTGGGGAGTCAAAAAAGAGGTTGAGTGAGTCTAATCCAAGTTTCTGTTGTTTAGAATAGAAACGATCCTTTGTTGTCGTTTTTTCTTGGAATTTTATGTTTGTGTCCTTCCAGGCGTGAATTTTTTCGTATTTAATGTTCCAAAAACAAGCTCCTGAAATTCATAAGAAGGTGCATATTCACATACATCTATGTGTCCCCACTAAATAAAATATAAGTTAACTTAAACCATTTTAAAAGAAAATAATATACTTACTAGACTACTGGCTCTCACAGCTATTCTATTAAAATATTTTTCATGATCAAGCCCTTGCTGATGACAGAAAGTCTACTCTTCACACCATAATGTCTTCTGTGCGCCATCTTCATTTGGATCTTTCCACTGCCATAATACTTGACGATCTAGGGATTTCCAAGCATGCCATCCAAAGTCATGGCTCCATAAAAGTATTTTCTTAATGAAATCTTCCACTTTGCACATGCAAAATCGTTTGGAAATGCATTGGCTCCCAAGATATCCATCTTTACCCTCAGTTTATAGTTTTTTACCAACTCATACACAATAACCCACAGTCCCCACACGTCCACAACCAACATGTAACTTGCTCATGATCCTCAAGCTCCATCTCTCTTCACTGCCACCACCTCATGCACCATGTACTTCAATGTTCCACAGTTGACAATACTGCTGCATGTCCCACTACTTGTTTGTGGCCATGTCAAAGTCTCCGATCACCACTTCATCCATTGCAGTGGCATTGAGCCTCTCAAAGATGTTTTTGAGCTTGAGATTGCAGTGGACAACCCCTCTAGAGTGCATCGACTTAGCATTTTTACCAATGTTTTGGGCCCTCGGCCTGTGTAACTTGAACCTTAATTTAGGCTAATTACTTTAAAAAAATCTTTTATTTAAATCTTGGTAAAATTCTGCTGGCTGGGCAAGCTAATTGGACTAAGAGACATGGATAGCGTGTACTGGCTCGCTGGAGTTTTGCATGGCATGTTTGGAGAGAGGTGGTGGCGATGGGGATTCCAACACTCCACGAATGGATTCTCTATCATATTTCAGTCCCAGAAAAGACGGCAGCGATGCCTAGAGTTTCAACACAGAAAGAGGTGTTGCTTTGCCACAAAATTATGAGCTTTGACAACGTTTCGATTTGGACTTCCAAAATGCACAAACTAACGCATGGCATGAATGGTATAAAAAGAGCTCTCGCAAGAGAAGAAGAAACCAAAAGAATGGCCGGGTGAGGATCTGTTTCACGAGGCCGAACTCCAAGGTCCAAGGCACGGCAGCGTCCAGCTCGAGCACTGATCACGGCATCCAGTTTCACTGATGATTCAAGAGCGTCCTGTACCTGTACGAGCTGCCAAGCACTGGCTGCAACGACGAGCTTCAGGGGTGCAGCGATGCGGATAGCGAGTCCCATCGCCAGAAGCTCCGGGCCAGCGCTGGCTAGCCGTGATGATCCCGATGCATCACGCTCGGCAACCTTGCCAGCGATGGTAGCGTTCGAAACAGTTCGGGAGGACGAGATGATTCCATACGTGGATGGCTTTCCATGGGATTCCGCGGAGGAGCTGGAACGTGCAGCTTGCGGGCCTTTTTCTCCCGAAGAAATGAAGGATGCAGCGTCAGAGGAGGTGCATTTTCCATGGCAAGAAGTGGAAGACCTTCCACCACCTCACGAGGCCAACGATGATCAAGCAACGACGACAGCGCCAGCTCCAAGCAGAACAAGAAGAGGCACTGAACAAGAAGAAGAATTCTATACATGGAAGTTGAAGGTGATGAGGCATAGATCGAAACTAGTTCAACTAATCCGGAGAAACTTATTTTAGCTGTAGAAATAAACATTGTCTTAACGGCGCCTTTTCTTCTTTCGACCCAGCTGACCGGACTTGGCGGCCGCCTCTTGTTCTTCCAAGAATGCCATGGCTTTCTTGTACTTGTCTTCACGCTCCTGCTCGGCCTCGGCTCGTTCTTTCAGTTTCTCCGCAGCCAGGAACTGGTTGTCTTTCCTCAGCTCGCGAGCCGCGCCTTTGGCTTCGCGTTGGATTTGGCGCCGCAGCTTCTTCCTCTCCGCCCTGTCTCGATCAATATCGTAGTCTCTTCCCTTGGCAAAACTGAGAAAGAAGAAGAATACCACCACGTTAGAAGAACAATCGTAAAGCGGCGACTACGTACTCTTCCTCAAACTTCGGGTTGAACTGCTTGATGGGAGTCGGTTTCTTCAGCCGCAATTGCAAAGGCTGCCGAAACTTTTCTAGCTCCTCTACTGTCTTATGGATGAGCTCGAGCGTGTCGATTATGGTTGCCTTTAAACTCTTTGGGAGGAGCTTTGAGGAGGACAGCTCCAGCAGTACAGGAACGAACTGCTTGAGGATCTCGGGAGTAGACGGCAAGTCGTTGTAAATCGTTACGAATCCTTTCAATGTTTGGATGGAAGCATTCAGGATGCCACACCTGAATTTACCAGAACCGACTTATTAAACGACCTCAGCGGTATAACCAAACCTGAAGGAGTCCGTGTCAAAGATATCCAAATCGGCATCTGCCGCCATTAACTCTGGGAAGTCCGGGTCGCAAAAGCTTTTATCAGAATTGTCGTCCTTGAGAAGTAACCAAGGCCGACTTCCAACAAGCTCTCTCAAAAATTGTGGACCCTGGAAACCACCAGCTTACTTCAGAAAAAGAAAATGGTCGTACAAATTTACCGTTTTTCTGGCCGCGGTACTATCTGGCAGGCCCGTCGACAGCAGCACCAACAAAAAGCTCAAAGCCTCTGGGAAAAATCTCCGAGCATGTTTCATGATCTATCAAACAAAAGCAGGTTTAAAAACAAAAGAAGAAAAAATCGGTGCTCACTGAAAGTGCCAATGAGCATAGAAAGGCTCCAACTCCAACATCTCGGCCTGAAGTAACTGGACAACGCATCAAATACTCTCCCAACAAAAGTACCAATGGTGTCATGACTACATGCCGAAAGTCCGATCCAGGAAATATAAGAGACCAAAGCCTCATCAAGAGAAGAGTTCTCACTGACGGCCAGCAGCTGCTTTCATCTCCATCTACACTGGATTAAGGTCGAAGTTAAAACAAAAATCGACATTGAAACGCGCAAGAGCAGCATACCTTTGCTTCGTAGCTTGTCCGACAAAACTTGTTGCATGCGTATCAGCCTTTCACGTGCACACGCAGCTGCGTAATAAGGCGTCTCTAAACTCATTTCGATCAACGGCTTCGTTAGCATGTTGATTCTATCCAGAGGTAACGGTTTCACTCCCGCCAAATCCGAAATGTACAACACCAAAACATTGTAGAACACCTGGAGCAGAAAAGATTAGTCAGGGAGAAACAGAAAAACCAAGATAAACAAGTACCTGCATCTTTTTCCTGTTTTCGGCCGCTAGACTGATGGCATTACAAGCTCTGATCCGTTGAATTGCCACCCCTAGCTCCTCAGTTGACCTGTGTTTAACCAGCCCCAGGAGCTGTTCGAGAGTCTGAGGTGCGTTGATCACGAACGGAAGCTCACGGGACTCTTCTATATCTTTGTCGTCACTCTCGTCTTCCTTACGTAACGTAGATTTCGCCTCCTCGATTAGCTCCTCCCTCGTGGACTCCTCACTGCCTGATGTTCCGCTGTCTTCACCTTGTACAGCTTCATCGAAGTTAGTTTCTTCTTCATCATCGTCGTCGCCATTTTCCTCATTGTCAGTATCGCTAGCATCTGGATTCTCAGCCTCAGTCCTGGCCATGACTTCGTCCACCCATCCCTTTTCTTGATACTCCTCTTCCAGAACAAAGTTTTCACCGAGATCATCACCAGATATCTCAGCACGCTTTCTCTTCTTCTTCCGCTTCGAACCTCCGTCGTCTTCGTCGGCCTCAGAGTCTGATTCCTGCGCTCCGGTCATTCTTTGTATCCGTTTTTTCTAAAGCACGCAAAAGTTTTGTCAGAAAGTCTACAGAACTTGGAAGATTCATTACGTGCCTCGAGCTCCTCTAGACGTTCTTTTTCCTCCTTTGCAATCTCTTCGGATGTCTTTAGCCTCTCCGAAGCCTGTGCGCGTATTTCAAAAGCCATCTCCTTCATCAGCTTGTCGTAGTCATCTGGTTTCTCCTGCACAAATATATAAGCCAAGTATTGCAGGACAGTGTGTGAAGTACCTTCTCGGTATCTGCGTCAGAAGCTTTATCATTCTTAATCGAGCCTTTCGCCAAGAGAGCCTTCAAAGTATTAATCTTTTTGGGACGCATCAAAGAGAGCAGAGCTGGCGTTTCGGCCAAAACTTTAAAATCGCTGTCCAGCTTTTCTCTGAGATCAAGGTCGTCTTCTTTTTCTTTGGCTTTCACGGCCTGCAAATAAGCAAAGTTGAGTACGCCGGTGTATGGACCGACCAAATGAGCATACCTTGAAGTGCTTGCTTTTGGCAATAACTTCTTCCATAATTTCTTTCTTTGATCGTTTCTCCTGATACCAATCGCATCTTAAGAGTGAAATCACCTTGAAAGAAATATAGAAACTATCTAACCTTTCTCGCGGGATCAGCGTCCGTGAAACCACCTCCGAAATTGAGCTCTTTTTGTGCTCCGGCAACCTGAGGAAGCTCTTCTTCATCGTCTAACGAAACATCTTCATTAAAGTCATCCAAGGTCGATAAAGCTGCTCCCTTGTGAGTAAGAAGATCTCCCTCTTCTTCTTCTTCTTCCTCAGCGTCGGGCAGTGCAAACTTACTCTTCCTCTGGAGTTGAGCCTACACGAAAGACCAACCAAGAGACTTAGTTTCTAGCAATAAAAAAAAAATGCACCAGTCTTTCACGTTGAAACCGCATAATCGCCTTCTCATCCTCGCTCATCTCTTCGTCATTCTCTCCAAACCGACGATCAACGAAAGCATTGCTCTTGTGCCGAAGCTTATACTCCCGCAATATCGTCTTCTTCCGCTGCAAAACAGTTCCCCACAATCGGCTCCAAATCGAAAATGCGGGCATTGCATACGAATACCTTCTCAATGCCGCGGGATCGCAACTCGCCAATCCTGCGCCCCTCGCCCTTCTGCTTCTTGCCGAGAATGTCAAATTTCCGCCGCGACCACAGCGTCTCGAAGAGACTGGGAGCAGCAGCAGCCGGACGAGGCGCAGCCTTGGCCGGGCGCTTCTTCTTGGCCATCGCTTAAACCCTAAACGTTTAGGGTTCTAGCATCTATTAATTTTTATCGAGGTACATATTAAAGACCTTTAAGCCATGGTTATAAATGTTAAGCTTTCATAGCTCAGTTGGTCAGAGCACCCGTTTAGTAAGCGGGAGGTCCGAGTTCAACTCTCGGTGAAAGCAGCTTGCCGAGCTTAGCCAGCGAAGGTATAGCGTTTGGCTTCACCCCTTCCATATCTTCGCAGCTCAAACACTTCTCTACCTTTGCTGGCACCAGTTCGCCGCAGTGGGAAGCAACAGTCGAGGAGCGTGACGAAAGTTACTCAATCCGGCTGGAAACCTTCTAAATCCATCTGCTGAAACAGCTCCCAAGTGCCTTGAATTCCCTGCTCGTTCTGGGAGCACGTAGACAGCATCGAGTTCCAGGACACAACGTCCCTCTTCGCGTGAGACAAATCAAAAACTCCTTTTGGCGCTGTCTAGCCTTCCCATCTTGCTAAACAAGTTGACAAGCGCAGTCGCCACCATCGGATCATTATGGAAACCATTTTTAGAACGCGATCGGTGATTGTGATTATGAGCTTCGACCCTGCTGCAGCAAAAGAAGAAAAAGAAACATCAGTCAGCATCCAAGATGCTAACAAAAGTCACCTCGATCGCCTCGACTCCTTCCAGATCTATTTTCTGGAGCTGCCTGATCGCCTCCCAGAGAAAACGCTGCTACCGTTCCGGACCACTTCTTTTCGTCCAGTTTCTCAACGACGACGCTTACACAGAGACCTCCTTCTGAAAACGCTGGAAGATCTTGAAGCCGGAGTTAAGTTGTTCCTCTTCCAGTGTTCCTGGGCAGAGACACCGAAATCTGTGGGTGGTCCAAGCACGCCCATGGTTTTGCTTTGTTATAGTTGCGGGTATGTACACCAGTATGGAACTCTTGGAGGCGTTGTTTACCTGGAAAACGGCGCAGGTATGGCTTTTCTCTCTTAGCTGAAAGTTGATCTTCGTTTTCAGTGCAAAAGGAGCTCACTTCCAGCAAAATCTTGCTCAGTAAGAGGAAATGATGTATAAAACAAGCACCTGAGGAAGCCTCAGATTCTTATATTGAGCAGGATCTCATAAATCTAACCCCCTGAGCTTCTCTTCAAAGCCCATGGTTGGCATCATTCTTGACAATGATCAAATTTAAATCGAATCTTTGACTAGAACTAGTTTTGGACAAACACAAAGATGCGTGAATGCGTGGGGGCATTTTGGCGGAGCTCGCTAGAGTGGATTGCCAAGCCGGCTACGCATCGCTCCTCCAGAGATGCGCGGATCCCAGGCTCTTGCCCGAGGCCAAGCTCCTCCACTCCCACATCGCTCGCCATCCCCTCCACTCGCGCAGCCTCCTCCTCCGCAACCACATCGTCCACGCCTACGCCAGATGCGGCAGCCTCGCCGACGCGCGCGCCGCCTTCGATGCCATCCCCGCCAAGAACGTCTTCTCCTGGAGCATCATCATCGCTGCCTACACCCGCCATGGCCACCACCGCCAAGCTCTGGATCTCTTCGACCAAATGGAGGCGAATCCCAGCGCTGCGCCGCCGCCCAATGCCTTCGTTCTCTCCACGGCCCTCGGCGCCTGCTCGGCGCTGCGCGATCTGGGCCGCGGCGAGCGCATCCACTCGCGGATCCAGCAGCGGCGGAGCGATCTTGGAGGGAATATGGTGGTGCTGGAAACCGCTCTGCTCAGGATGTATGCTAGCTGCGGCTGCGTAGTCCAAGCGGAGGAGATCTTCCAGGCGATGGGCGAGAGGGATGTAATCGCGTGGAACGCAATGATCTCTGCATATGCCCACACCGGGCATCACACCCGGGCATTTGGGATCTTCCGGATCATGCTCCTCGAGGCGGCGGTGACGCCCAGCGCCGCTACAATCTCCGCCATCCTCGCCGCCTGCCTCGATCTGGGATCTGGGAGGAGGATCCACTGCTTAGCGGCATCGATCGGGGTGGAGTCCCATCCATCGGTGGCGATCTCGCTGCTGGGCATGTACTCGCGATGTAGCAGCTCCATCACCAGCGCTAGAGCGCTGTTCTTGGGCATGGAGAGGAAGAGCCTGGTGGCGTGGAACACGATGATCGCGGCGTGTGCGCAGAGAGGTCTAGCGGCAGAGGCCCAGGAGCTGTTCAAGGCCATGGATGTGGAGCCGGATGGATTCACTTTCGCGAGCTTGCTGGCGGTGTGCTGCGATCTAGACCTCGGGCGGCGCCTCCACGCCGGGATTGCCACGGCGCGCCTCGCTTCGCGCTTGATCGTGGACACGGCGCTGGTGGGCATGTATTCGCGGTGTGGGAGCTTGGGCGATGCTGCGGCTGTGTTTGAGGGAATGGAGGATCGCGACACAGTCGCGTGGAATGCCATGATCGCGGCATTTGCCGAGGCGAGAGATCTAGATCGGGCTATGGAATGCTACCAGAGAATGCTGGATCGATCCACTTGTGAGCCCAATGGGGTCACGTATGCCACCCTTCTTGCTGCTTGCCGTGATCGAGGTGATCTTGGCCATGGCCGGCGCCTTTTCAGGGATGCCCAGGATCGAGGGCTCTATCCCGATCGATTCGTGCAAAGCGCGGCAGTGGCGATGCTCGCGCGGTGTGGCGCGATCTGCGAGGCCAGGAAATTGCTGCGGGAGGCCAAGATCAGGGACGTGGAGGCCTGGAACGCGATGATCTCGGCTTATGCCCAGATGGGTCATTTGCGCGAGGCTCTGGGAATCTACCGGGAGATGGAACACGACGGCTCCAGCAGCCCCGATCTCTTCACCTTTGCAAGCGCTCTAGCTGCTGCAGCTGGGCTTGGAGATCTGGACACCGGGAAGGTGATCCACGAGAGAATGGCGGCCGAAAGATCGCTCAAGCTCGACGTCTTCGCCGCAAACGCGCTGCTCACCATGTACTCCAAGTGTGGCAGCTTGGGCGATGCCAAGCTCGTGTTTGATCGCATCCCGGACAAGGACACAGTCTCCTGGAACTCGATGATCTCGGCCTACGCCCGCCACGGCCGCTACAAAGACGCCATCGCCACGTACCGCGCCATGGAGTGTTGCCCGGACGAGGCCACCATTGTGAGCGCCCTCGCGGCAGCGTCGGCTCTCGCGGATCTAGACGAAGGAGCTGCCATCCACGCCCGAGCTCTCGAGCTCGGGATCGCCACTCCTGTGGTGGAGTCCACGCTCGCAAGCATGCACGCCAAGTGTGGGAGCTTGGACGCGGCCATGGCGCTCTTCGAGAAGAACCGCGAGAAAGATCTAGTCTCCTGGAACGCGATGGTGGCAGCGTACGCGCAGCACGGAGATGGCTCCGAGGCGCTCGCGCTGATCCACCGGATGGAGCTGGAGGGGATCTCCCCAAATGGAGTGACGCTGTCCGGGGTGCTGGCGTCGTGCTCCCATGCCGGGCTGCTCGAGCGGGGGATGTTCTACGTGGGGTGGCTGAGCCGGGAGCACGGCGTGGCGGTGGAGAGCGAGCACTATCGGTTTGTAGTGGAGCTGCTCGGGCGGTGTGGGAGGCTGGGCGAGGCCGAGGCGGTGGTCCGCGGTATGCCGCTGGAGCCCGACCCCGCGCTGTGGGTGACGCTGGTGGCCGCTTGCGTGCTCCACGAGGAGGTAAGCCGCGCGGACCGTGCCGCTGCGGGGTTGGATCCTGGCGACGCTGCGTCTTACGTGCTCCTCGCCAATGTATATTCGGCTGGGATTTGATATTTTGGCGGGAAGTTTTGTAGTCGGGGTTAGAGTCTAGGCTGCGTTCCTGGATGCTGATCACCAGATACCACTTGGGAAGCGATGGTGAAATTTCAGCATCCAGGAACGCGTTCACTTGGAGTTCATATCTGTGCCGATGTTTGGCTTTGTTGATCCTATGGTACAGTTTCTCCTAGGCGACTTGTTTCTGCTTCATCGAAAAAAGATGAGACAGAAGTCAATGTGCAAAGTTCACTGGAAGGAAATAGGAAGCGAGTGTTATCTCCGCAGCCAGGAGACAAGGGTGCGAACTTAAAACAGACAAGAAGTCACAAAAGTGTCAAGGTACTGATAAGTTTTTAATTATATTTTTCTTCTTTTGACAAATTTTTATGGACTTAGTAAGTCCACAAAATGTTTATGTCTACGATTCGGGACCAAGCTAGAGCTTAAGATTGTGTCCAATACTCTGGAGGTACTTCACCTGAGAGAAGAAGAACGGGACCAAGCTAGAGCTTAAGATTGTGTCCAATACTCTGGAGGTACTTCACCTGAGAGAAGAAGAACCAGTCAGAGGCTTCATGACTTTGTAGAGGTTTGCTTGGACGAAAAAAGCATAATTCACCAAATCTAGAGCATAAGTACAAATAGCTTCCTCATGAATTGCGGCAAGAATCTAATTCTTTTCTTTACGAGTGCCAATCTACACCAGTCGGGATCCAGCTCAGAAGAAAATCAAAACAACTCGGACTTGATTGCCAGCATGATATCTCTGCTACTTCCAAATGCTGTCTCTCATGAAAAAACGTTCAAAAAGAAAACGGAGACAAGGTCTCCCCAAGAGAGATGTGGCGCAAAGTCCTATAGACTTCGGGATGGGTAACACGGCATTGGAGGCCTCCGTAGCCAAAGACCACCCCATTGAGCAAGCCATGACAGCAAATATCTTTGACAACCAACAGGAAGCTCTTACTGACCTTGACAAGCGGCTTACCACCGCAGTTGAGCCTCAAGCTGGAGAGGTGCCCATTGCTGAGGAGCCGAGCAACCAAGTTGACAACGCGGAAAAACCTCAGCAAACAAAGAATATCGATGAGGACACACAATGTGCGGGCGGAAACATAATCGAGACCACAGTCATCGTCAACAAGCTCACTAGCTCGAATGAGCTTGAACAAGTCACAATGCAGCCCAGCCAGCTCTTAGTAAAGCAACTGGAGGCTGTCAAAAGGATTCGACAATCACAACAGCCAATGCTTTGGACGACCGTTGTGCTGATTTGGACAGCAAGCGGTACATTATCTCGGACATGCTGAAGCTGAAGAAAAGTTCCAGGATCTCGGACATGTCGAATCACTTGATCCAGCGTGCGTGACGGATAGTATACTTCGGCCCCCAACAATGCTTTATACCTGAAGTCAATACATTTCACAGGCGCTGGTTCCATCGAGCTACTTGATCTAGAAATTCCAGCATGCGTGACGAACAGTCACACTTCGACCGAACAAGAAAAACAACAATGCTCTAGACCACAAGTCCGGTTCCATCAACGAACAAGCAGTATCTATCTACTATGGCTCAAGCAAAGGATACGTGGACTAAACCGGAGCCTGCTCAAAATGATTCCGTAGCCAACGATTTGGCCAAGCAGTCGAGAATACATACCGGCTTTAGTTCCATCAGCCAGGCTCGGACATGCTAAAACCCGTCGCTGCTTTTGAGCACGAACTTTCAGTTCTTTGCGTGGCACTCAACGCAAGGAGTCAGGAGGTGGATATTTGCGGCTCTTGTAGTAAAGCACGGTATACAATTACATGCATACCGTGTTTTTGGAGCAGAGGTTTGTTCTGTGTTTTTTTCATCTTGGTACATTTGGCTTACATTATTTTTGCAGCTACAAGCGGAGTTTGGAATTTAGCTCACTCTAGATGGCGACAGCCTTCATCTCCAGCACCGACCAAAGACTGTTATCAAGAGAAACCACCCTATGGGAAGCTTGGGGCTATGAACAAAGATGAATGTTGTGTATCCAAGAATGGCGCATGGATTGAGGTAATTGTTTTTCATGTTTGCATTAATCATGTCCTATTCAGGCATTCTCTGTATGAAGCACCTGCAAGATATAGCTGGAAGACTTTTCAGAGCATTTTTAAACCTAGCCATAGTTCCTCATGAACCTAGGATGGCTAACTTTGATGCATACCTTTTTATCATTTTTAAATCTATTGTTCTTACAAGAAGAAAAATCTGAAGTTTTACAGAATTAATTAAATTTAAAATTTATATATTTTGCACTTTCAAATTTAGAGGAGAGAGTTATAATATAGGGAAATGTAAAATTATGTCACTTTAAAAAAACATAATTTAATATGTACAAATTAAATTAAAAACATATTCTTTACTACTTGGGCAAGGTTTTTTTGTAGGGTTTCTTTGTTGACAAGCTGCTACCTCCATCACTCTATCTCGCTGTAATGCAGGTATTAGTAAGTCTTAAGTATATGATTATTCTTTTATCTAATAATATTTTTAAATTAAATATATAAAACCTTTAATTAAAAGATAAGTCTTTCTTTTTTCATGCATTTACATTCAAGAAAAACTTAAATGAATACCATCATGAACTATAATTTATATTATTTTATAAAGAATATATAAAATTATTTAAGATTTATTATTGACTTGGATAAAAAAGTATATAGGGTTTTCAGAACAATTATAGCTTATTTGCTATTAGTGGTTGTAACAAAGTTAAAAATAATTATACATTAAAATAAAATATATATAAATAAACAAACTTGGCATTATGAGTGCTTGGAATATAGAAAGGGAATACAAAAAATGTGCATATCAATTAACCCAAAAACCCTAGCTTATATACAAGAGCAAGTGGTCCGAATTGAAACCAATTCGATGGCTACCAAAATCCCACTATGTTAATATTAGTATACAGCATTGTAGCCGTACACTTGGCCCTCACATCATCCCCTCCTCTCGGAATAATGGAAGACCATCAAAATTCTCTTATAAATATACTAGGATTTGGAAAAACGTCAAGAGGAAGCATCGGCAGATCTATAGGTGGTATTAACTGCTCCTAATCCCTTTGTATGAAGCGTTTCAACTGTTGCATATGCACAATCTCTGGAGGATCGGCCTACTAGATGTCATGCCAAACCTCATAAACTTGTGGTTCAACTTGCCGCAACACCTGATATGGTTCTTTCCACTACTCAAGAAGCCCTTTAAATAAACCATATACTGTAAGATGGGGAAAATGGACTAACACAAAATCATCCACTTTGCATTTCGCAGGTGGACGATGATGGGAGTTATAGTGCCGTTGTTGTCCCACTTGTATGCGGCTTAAGTGTTCAGTAGACTCTGCTTAGACAAGTGGAAGAATGCTCGTCAAATACTGATATCATGACCTAGCATCAGTAACTCATGGCAATTGCGAAGGTAAACCCAACTTGGTTGGTAATATTGGATCATGATTATATAGGAGTTTATATGGTGAAACACCAATAGAACTATACACCTTTGTGACATATGCATACCGAAGAGACGGCAAATAACCATCCTAATCCAAATGCTGAAAGTTCACATACTTTGCAATCATTTATTTGAATGTTCGAACAAGCCGTTCCACCAGACCATTTGATTGTGGATGATAAGCACTCGTGAAAGTGCGACGTATCCCCAACCGAGACGTCAAAACATGAAATGCCTCAATCATAAATGTAGGACTATTATCCAAAAGAATCCATTCCGAACAAGAATGCTGAAACACCACTCAATTGAGGAGGAAGTATCCAACAGCAATTGTTGAGGCGTTAGCAAAAGCACCAACTTCCACCTAATGAGTCAAATAATCAGAAGTAATAATAACATATTCATTGCCAGTAGTCAATTGTGGAGAATGTCCCATAAGATCAAATGCCACCAACTCAAAGAGATGGGAAATTGCAATCGACTCCAACCGTCCTTCTACAACACGAGGGGGAGTATTACAAGCTTGGCACCAAATGCAGTTATGCACATACAAGATAATATCACGTCACATCTCTGGCCAATAGAAAGACCTATGCAGCTTCTCGGTTACATGACGATGTCCCATATGCCCACCTAGAATAGGAGAATCATAGTAGACATGGAGAAACCACAGAATAAACACAGAAGGCACCACCAGCCGTAAATGATCATCAAGATCCGTCCCCACAAAATAAAGAAGGCCGTTTTCAAGGCGATATTGAGAATGTAAATGCCGGAAAGGCAAGTCATCAATAAGTGATGTAGGATTCTCAAACCCATTTTGAAGCCTTCGAATCCACGGCTCAATTTTTTGAGCCTTACGAACCTCATCAAGAAAAGGTAGATCTTGCTTTGCAACTTGTGGACATTGAACGTTAAGTATAGCAACCACTGATGGTACAGAATCCTCATCTAGAAAATCCACAGATGCTAGAACAACAAGCTCATCAGAAACATGAGAAGAGAGTGGAAAAGGAAGAGGAGCTCGAGAAAGGGCATCAGCATTAGCCATAAAACTCCTTGAATGATGAATAACATCAAAATTATATATTTGAAGCTTCAAAGCCCACTGAGCAGTACGACCAACCAAGTTCTTTCATTTAAATAATGAAGTAATGGCAACATGATCACCTTCAAGTAACATCCAAGAACCATGTAGATATGCATAAAGTTTCTCAAAACCCCAAACTATTGCTAAACACTTCTTCTCTATCGTGGGATAGTTCACCTCCGTTAGTTGTAATGTATATCTTATATACACAATAGGATATTCCTAACCAAGCACACTCTGGTTCTCTTGCATCAACACACCTCCAAGACCAATGTTAGAAGCATCCATGCTCAAAATAAAAGATCGAGTGTAGTCAGGATATGCCAAAACCTGAGGAGTTGTCAATAGCTCTTTGAGATCTACAAACGCCCGCTCACAATCCAGAGACTAGATGAAAGATGACATTGATGATTTCAGCAACGCTCGCAATGGT